TAATGTTTTGTGGACTTTTATTTTTCATCCATATATATAAGAATTAAACCTGACAGGACAGGAGTGTTGACTATTGAGAAGCAAGACGGTTTTAACTTTATATCAATATAAGACTTTAGCAGGAAATCATTTTAAATATGTTTTATATTTTACAAGGAGACAATAAGTTTACCAGGCTAAAGTTGGGGTTAATTATACATGTGCTGAAACATATAACTGAAAAAAAAATCATTATGGATTATCCCCTGGTAGTGTTTGTAACTGGGCAATAATTTCCTTTATTGATTTAATTTTAACCATTTTCATAATTAATTTAAATTAACCATTCAGTTAAAACATTTTAACTTTCCAGACGCAAATGTTGAAAAACGGGACAGAAATAAAATATCTTACAAGACATAAACATGTAAAAAATAAATATATATTTCAGCTTACTAAAAATATTTTCATAATGTTACTTTGACATCATTTCTTAAAACTAAGTCCCAAACATAATTGCTCAGTTGACATGTGTCATCCTCATGCGATACGAGATAACTATAATTCTGATGCAATCCCGAAAAGGGGGGTCATCACAAACAAACATGACATTAAATTGTCATTATACGAACTAGAACAAACAGCTCTATGTTGCTTTGATATTTATCAATTTTCAGGAAACATGTGAAATAAATTTCAGGTCCATTTCATTATAGTGCCTTACAAGATTGTGTGAGGTAGACGAAATTGACCTTAAAACGATCGTATTGTCTTTTGATGTCCAAAAATAGGCAGATCGGACATATAAGGACTTTATCTAATGACTACATAAATTTGGGATTTATTATTATTATAATATTCTAATGAAACTGAAAATTGTATTTTTTTTTAGGATAAACAACAATTTTACCTGGCGTAGCCGTTCATAAATGTTTTTCTGCATTTATCTTCGAAAAATGGCGTATTTAATGGAATAGAACGTTAATACAGTAAACTTTCTCTTTTTTCTCCGCAATAGGCTATCAAAAATAATTTATCTAATGTGTATGTGGAAAATTATGTGAAAAGATAAAAAGTGGCAATTGTTACCTTTCATACCTTAAGTTTCGTTCATCTGATTCTGACCAATGCTTATATACTAAATATGTAACAGCCACTATGTTCCGTCAGTTACTTTATTCCGGCGGAACTTTCCAACTAGTTATTTCGTTCCGATGGAACTTTCCAACTAGTTGTTTTATTCCGAGTGCAGTCGAAAAGTTCCGGAAAAAAGTAGCTAGTTGAAAAGTCCCAGAACAATGTAGCTAGTTAAACAGTTAACCGTAACCGTAACCCTAACCCTAACCCTAACCCTAACCCTAACCTAACCCTCACCTTAACCCTAACCCTAACCCTAACAAAGAGGAACTTTGTTACTAGATGATAAGTTCCGTTTGACTTTTGTGGCTAGTATCTTTGTCCCCCTTTGAAAAGGTTCAAAGATAATATGTTGCGCTTTAACTTTGCATCAATTCTCCAAATGGAACTTTGTGACTGGTTAATAAGTTCCGTTGGAACTTTTGGGCTAGTTTGTTAGTTCCGGTTTTAACTTCTTTGCCAAAGAGGAACTTTGTGGCTAGTTGATAAGTTCCTTTTGACTTTTGTAATCAGTATCTTGGTTTCCCTTTGAAAGGTTCAAATATAATATGTTGCGCTTTTACTTTGCATCAATTCTCCAAATGGAACTTTCTGCCTGGTTGATAAGTTCCGTTGGAACTTTTGAGCTAGTTTGTTAGTTCCGGTTTTGACTAATTTGGCAAAAAGGAACTTTCTAACTAGTTGATATGTTCCGTTGGAACTTTTCAACTAGTCACTTTGTTCCGGTGGAACTTTTAAACCAGAGGAAGAACAAAGTAACTAGTTAATAAGTTCCTCCGGAACTTTTCGGCTAGTTAGTTCTTTCCGTCCGGAACTTTCCAACGTCGGAACAAAAGAGCATTTACAAATATCTATTTATATGCCGCTATTATTGTTGTTGTTACCAATTATGTAAATCAATTGTATCTGATTTTATGCCCTTTATGGGCCCTGTAATTTGGGAAATAAAAAAAAATCTATTCATTGATAAAACGTAATATGGACTGGTCCAGTGTCCAGTTTGCAGGTCATTTAATTTTCTGTACACATTCATGCACGCTCTGATTTAATCAATATACTCGTACGAAAAAGCATGAACAGTTTGAAGGTAATCTAATAATAACTTAATCCAATCAAATTGCATAAGATTCAATAACAATGTCAAGTCCACATCATAATGAGTAATAGAGGTAAACTGGGTAGGGAGAAAATGACAGATATTTCAAGTTAATATTTATGCAATAACGAATTAAAATTTGTCAACCAAAAGTTTTGCTACAATTTCAAAAACATGTCGTTCTGTATGGGTATAGTTTTCGGATCTTTCATTAGCGTATTTAAGGCTATAAAAAGTTTGGGCTTCAAAAGTTCACACAATTATTGACTTTATACAGAAAATTCGTCCTTGTAAAACATTTAATAGTTCACAAATGATACGCGATTTTAAAGTAAAATTATTTCTTAAAACACTGCAAAAAATTTCATTCATATTGATAAAGTGGTATCGTCATAAAGTGCGTTGAAATGACCAGTGGTATAGCAAACATCGAATTCCCTCACAAAATGTTATCACACACTTCAGTGAGGGGAGTCAGTTAAGTTTGTTTATTTTTAGATACTATACAGGTAATCTTTTGACACTACGTATACAACCTGTGTGACCTGTGTAGTGATTTTGATTTTACGATAAATTCATGAATGAACGATAATTTTATGAATGAACATGAGCACCTGACCTCTTTCTTAAACACCTATTAAACATATAAAACCGTATTTAATAAGGAGATAATTCAGTCAAATTTTCAGTACTAAATCAACAACTGAAATGATTCCATTTTTTGATGAAACATCGTACGAACGGAGAATGGAATCGCACGTATAAAAATGCACTTTTTTCCCTTGTAATGACCGCGGATCTATAATTTTTATAGATCGGTTGAAATCCCAAAACTAATTTGCATAATGGAAATTTAGGCGATAGCAATACATCGGAGTGACCTCAAGGTCATCCTCTGTAAAAAAGGATAATTCCTCACTAAAATATTACATGATTTACATGCATACTCACAATCAAGAAACATATCCAATTCCTAACTTTCTTTCTTTCTGTTGTGTCACCTAATATCTAAAACGCTTTTTTAAAAAAAATATTTCCCAAATGATATGAAAGTCCTTACATCACTATAACTAATCCATAAATGACATGCCCAAAAAGGAAGTCATGCGTCAATTATAGACATTGCACTGACAATGAAACCAATTCTTGAATAGATCATTTGAGCCTTGAGCACTTTACAATATTCTAAGTTTGTAAGAAAATGATAATCCCTTACTTCATGATAAGTACTCGCTAACGCTCGTACTTAATCATGAAGAAAGGGATTATCATTCTCTTACATATACGAAGTGCATGACTAATTGCCTCTAGACATCAACCCAACAACATTCAATCAATTCAAAACAATGTTTTTGTCATTTGGGTATTTGGTGTTGATTGAAAATATATGATAATCTCTCTATTAAATTTGGTCATAATGTGTTTAGACTTGGGCCGATTGGCTGCTAATATATTTTATGACACATGTCGAATGTTAAAGATCTTATGTTGACATGGAGATATATTTTATGACACCTGTCTGATGTTAAAGACCTTATGTTGACATGAAGATATATTTTATGACACCTATCTAATGTTAAAGACCTTATTTTGACATGAAGATATATTTTATGACACCTGTCTGATGTTAAAGACCTTATGTTGACATGAAGATATATTTTATGACACCTGTCGAATGTTAAAGACCTTATGTTGACATGAAGATATATTTATGTCACCTGTCTAATGTTAAAGACCTTATGTTGACATGAAGATATATTTTATGACACCTGTCTAATGTTAAAGACCTTATGTTGACATGAAGATATATTTTATGACACCTGTCTAATGTTAAATACCTTATGTTGACATGAAGATATATTTTATGACACTAGTGGAATGTTAAAGACCTTATGTTGACATTAAGATATATTTTATGACACCCGTCGAATGTTAAATACCTTATGTTGACATGAAGATATATTTTATGACACTAGTCGAATGTTAAAGACCTGATGTTGACATGAAGATATATTTTATGACACCTGTCGAATATATATGTTGAATACCCTATGTTGACATGAAGATATATTTTATGACACTTGTCGAATGTTAAAGACCTTATGTTGACATGACGATATATTTTATGACACCTGTCGAATGATAAAGACCTTATGTTGACATGAAGATATATTTTATGACATCTGTCGAATGTTAAAGACCTTATGTTGACATGAAGATATATTTTATGACACCTGTCTAATGTTAAATACCTTATGTTGACCTGAAGATATATTTTATGACACCTGTCGAATATATATGTTAAATACCTTATGTTGACATGAAGATATATTTTATGACACTTGTCGAATGTTTAATACCTTATATTGACCTGAAGATATATTTTATGACACCTGTCGAATATATATGTTAAATACCTTATGTTGACATGAAGATATGTTTTATGACACCTGTCTAATGTTAAATACCTTATGTTGACATGAAGATATATTTTATGACACCTGTCGAATGTTAAATACCTTATGTTGACATGAAGATATATTTTATGACACCTGTCTAATGATAAAGACCTTATGTTGACATGAAGATATATTTTATGACACCTGTCGAATGTTAAAGACCTTATGTTGACATGAAGATATATTTTATGACACCTGTCGAATGTTAAATACCTTATGTTGACCTGAAGATATATTTGTGTCGTTGTGTTGGTGTCTCATTCACATATACCCTATATCTCCTTTAATCTTCACGTTACATTATGTTAAAAAGAACTTAACACAAAGAGTACGAATAACAAGTTTTATTTTCTAATTTGAAGCCACAAAACACACAACACACAAACAATACACAAAACTCACAACAAACAATACAATACAATGTTATCATTACAAAATTAAATACCAAAGAAAACTGGTATATAATATAAAAATAAGGAGGTATGATTGCCAATGAGACAACTATCCAACAGAAACAAAATGCAATTACAGCTTCAAGTTGCTCGTATAGTTACGGAATTACCTACAAGCTCAAGGATAATTTACAAGGAACTTGGGTGGGAAGCGTTGGCTGAAAGAAGAGAGAGAAGAAAAATTCAAATGTTTGATAAAATTAAACAAAATAATGATCCAGAATATTTGAGTAATTTAATTCCACTAACAATCCAAAGTATGACTGTTTATCCACTTCGCCATTTTTTATGCAATGATAACGATATAATACTTCCATTCTGCAGACTCACATTAAAGAATGAATCATACATACTATCAACTATCTGTCGTCTATGAAATAACCTTGATACTTCAACCCGTGAAGCAGATATAATAGGAAAATTTAAATCGAAAATAAAAAAACTTAAATCCCGACAGTTATAAATACTCGTAAACTCAATATTATTCTTACCCAACTTCGATGTTCTTACTCCTTCTTAAATTATGATCTGAATTGCGTTGATCATTTCTAATCCATCTTGCCGCTGCGGTGTGTATCGCAAGGATTCGCATCATTTCATTTTTAAGTGTATATTATATTCAGAAAAAAATGAAGTAAGCTTTCAGAAAATCTTAGCTGGCTTCCAAATAACTGACCATTACATATAGAACTATTAACCTAGGTAAGTTGTCTACTTACTCAGAAGCAAAATGAAAATATCTTCAAACATGTGTTTGATTTATTAGAGGGTCGAATATATTTCTTATTGTTTAATAGTAAAATATGACCACACACACATCTTCATCCTAAGTTGAGCTGTTTTTGTTTTTTGTTTTTTGTTTGTTTGTTTTGTTTTTATTATTTCATTTCGTAGTTGTTTTTTTTTTTGTGTTCTGTTTTTTTTTCTTTCTTCTTTTGCGCCACTTAATTTTCTGTCCAATTTATACAAATGTTGAAATAATATGTAATGTATGCATGCTCTTATACATTGTATGGTTACATATGTTAAATGGTGAAGACTTCACAAGTCCGTTTGACTTGTGTCTTATCAAATTTGTGTTTATGTAAATGAGATATCATGTTTAATATATTCTAAGGTATTAATAAAATTAAGGTATATGATATATGATTGAACTACTCCAAAATAAATTAACGAAAAGTTTCACATACTGTTGTATATTGAAGTTATTGTATAGCTAAAGAAATGACACGAGTAAGATCAAGTCAAGAGGTTCGATATATGGATATTATCATCGATAATTTAAACTAGAATTACAACTTGTTTTGGATGGAAAAGGACTTTTACAGTTTACCTTGTAATTGAAATGGAATAAACATAAAACATTGCAAGCAAAGCACATTTTGAGAGGTTTCTTTTAGTATCTTTTTTAACAAAATCATTTTTTGAAGCATCTTTGATAAAGTCTTTGTAGTCCATTGTAAAATTCGACATCAAGGAAAGCGTAGATAATTGGATTAGCGATGCTGTTGATGATATACGACCGGTAGAACCATACCACAACAATGAGCTCCATCTGAGTAAGACTGTCCCAGAACTCCGGAATAAACCCTTCTAGCATCACGATTGCTCCAACTGGTAAATAACAAACTATAGACACACTGGTTACTACAACAAACATCAAAGAAAACTTGGTCTTAAACCGTTTGTTTCTTTTGTTACGTTTATCATTTCCCTCACGTGTTGTTGACTGAGAAAAAGCTCCCCTTTTTGGAACTGCACACCCCACTGATGATTCTTGTAACTCTGATTTCAGCATGTTCTGTGTACCTAAACCTCTATCAGACTTGATGTGCCTCTGCAATGCTTCATCGTTATGATGATTCATATCTGTTGATGGAAAGTTGATGTCTTCTTGGCTACTTGAGTTATTCTTTTTCCCGCAATTATCTGCAGAGGTATCGTCTTTTTTTTCATTTGTTTTCTTATCGGATGTACTTCCCGAAGACCCAATAGACGATGTGTTGAATTGCATTTTTTTCTTTTGTGACTGAGATTTGAAATGCCCAAATATTGTACAACCAATTCTGCCATAGAAAAAAACTAGACATGTGCACGTCATTTGCATGATAATTCCGAACACAATGGAGTGTGCAACCGCCACCGGGTAAACATCTTCACGTTTAAGTCTGCCACATCGTTGACCACCTGACCTTCCTTCAACAGAAAACTCATTTATACCGTATGTCAATGTAAATGGTATTGCCATACATATCCCAAGGATGGCAGAAATACCAATCATGATTCGACGCTGCAATAAGTTGAGTTGGTACTTGCGACATATCAATAAATATCGTTGGAATGCAATGCACAGGAAAAGGAAAAGACATAATGATGCACTGCTTGCAATTGAAAACAGGATGACTTTACACAGGCTATTACTGGTAAAACTCGATTGTAGGGAATTCCATATTGTACAAGTGATAGAACCAACAATCGTCGCCAAAATATCTGCCGCAGCTAAAACTGGAATAAAGTATCGTTCTGTAGACGTGTCTTTCATTTCCAATTTATACACAGCCACAACAATTGCATTCCCTATTACTCCTATAACCATGCAGACAGCTAAAAACACGCTGTTACCAATCAAGTACGTCTCAACAGTTTTTGGCCAGTCTTGTTGGTAGTTTGTTGCATTAGACTGCAGATCTTCTGTGACATTTTCAATAGCTTTGATGATAGAAGTGTTCATTTTTATACCACATGTATAACCAATATATAAGTCTGTCCTGTAAAATAAATTAAGAAAAGACTGGCTATACAAATTATCAAATATATGTATTAAGGGACAATTAGTTGAAATCAAACTTTGGCTATAACTCTTATCTGCTTTTAATTTATCACGAACATTAGATTATGTCAAAGACACAAATAAAATAGTTATAAAATGTAATAAGGTAATGTAAAAATATATAAAATAATTATATAATATGATAAATTTTAAAGTTTTATATACACATTTTACCTTCGGACGTCTTAAATAAACCTAATCACGTTTATAGTCTGTTAGCCCCTTGAGAAGAAATGTTGTCGTTTGCTCTTAATATATCCCTTGCATCCTTTACGTCAGAGAAAGGTGACACTCCAATTAATGAGTAATTTCATTATTGAATTTGATATATGATAGTTTTACCTTCACAATGAAGGGAACTGTCGAGAATATAGGATATTAATTACGATAATACACTAATTATAAAACCCAAGATGATAACGGAAGTATAGATTTTAGATAACCTCATATAAGCTTGTTATCAAACAGTTATAACAGATATTAATGTAGCAGTATAATAAAAAAACATATATGAGGCACTTACCAATGAAATGGATTTCCAACATGCTTACCAATAAAACAAAAAAATAACGAAAAGAAAAAAAATAAAAATAAAAATTCCAGCTGCTGTATTTTTTTGGTAAAATTTGTTCTGACAGGAAAAAAACCTCCTTCTGTTGTCTCTGGTGATAGTTGTTCAATTTACAATCATATCACATCCCTTTATTTTCATATAAAGGGAACACATGTAGAAGAGATGTACTGAGCATTTATATGACTATTAATTGAATATGCTATCAATGTCTTGAACAAATATTGTTAAATAGGTAAAGCGGGTAAAGTAGGACACTTGCATCGTTACGTTACACGAATCGCCACTTAAAACATTAATAAAGATATTGGTCGGTGCACTTTGCAGGAACGTCGTAAGATACGAAAATTCCATTGTTTTGATAAGCGCAAAATTAAAATACTGCCTTTGCAGTTTAATAACATGAATTCAAACCACTCTTCTTTATCCACCGAGAAGCGCTGGGGATATCATTATACATTCTTCTATGCTTTCCTTAACCAGTTAGTCTAATAGCCCTCAACTAAAGGTATACACAGTGGAATCGTTATCGTGATGTAACTCTTCCACACTAAAGAATTATATTGTCCGATCAGAATGGTAACATTAAATGTGAAATCCATTGTAGGATGAGTTTCGCCCTCTATGCACATTAAATTATCCTTATAACTACTCCCTTCAGACTCCGTATGTGGCCAATTGCCAGGCAAAATGTCTGTTCCCTATCGTACATACATGCATTTTCAAGTGACAGTTCAAATTTCCTGACCTCCATTCATTCGACCTACCTATATTATTCATTGTTAATTTGTTATCGTTCTGAATATACATGAACTATTTGCCAAAGACCTTCAACGAGTAATTATTAAACAAAAATCTACAACAAATCCATAAGGATTGCAACTTTGGTTATGCATCCTTGGTAATTCTCTATTTATTTCTACCTTTCTGTATGCATTATAATATATAAAATTGCATGTGCGAGACTACAAAGGTAAAACAGTTAATAACTAACCAGTACTAGATCATATTTAACTCACAACTATAAAACTCATTTAACTGACCAAATAAAAGGATTAAAACTATTTTGGATAATATCATATTATACCAGTTGTAATTAAAGCAATATTCAAGATCTGCAACATTGAAATTTTTGTGTAGAGTTTCCAATGTTAAACTGAAATAATTATCTAAATCAAGGAAAGGACAGTTATTACCGTAAATTATATTTGATTTATTTAAAGCAAGTTCCTTTGGGTAAATTTCGGCAGTATATTTAGAAAATTCTTGATAACGGAAAAATATCATTAAGATAACGGTAAAAGAGGGACGAAAGATACCAGAGGGACAGTCAAACTCATAGATCGAAAACAAACTGACAACGCCATGGCCAAAAATAAAAAGACAAACAGACAAATGATAGTACAGATGACACAACATAGAAAACCAAAGACTAAGCAACACGAACCCCACCAAAAACTGGGGGTGATCTCAGGTGCTTCGGAAGGGTAAGCAGATCCTGCTCCACATGTGGCACCCGTCGTGTAAGTGATGTTGAATTTATCAATAACATGCAATTTAGACGGGTCTTTACTGAGTTTTGTCATAAACTGTGATTCATAACAGTACAAGAACAAGTCTGCTATTAATAGGGCGCAATTGGTGCCCATAGGAGTACCTACAACCTGTCGATAAACCGTTTTGCCGAATCATACATTAATATTATCAAGAAGATAATTTACATCTTCAATCATCTCATCACACCTCCAGTACATTGTAAGTATATCCAGCATATTTACCTTTCTCATTAAGAAGAAGGCTTTGAATAAGTTGCAGTAAATATATTTGCAATCAGATTTATCAAACGACCATTTAATTAAATAGGAAAACTTTTGTTTGATATACTGATTGTGTGGAAGGATAGTGTTAATAGTTTAAAAGTCAAAACTATCAACAGAATCAAAGGGAGCGTCAAAAGCACGTAATTTATCTAACTTAGAAACACTCTAAAATTAGTTAATTCCTATTTAATCAAATGGTCGTGTGATTATGAACTCTTTTTTATAACTATATTGCTAAGTAATAATGTGGTTATGGTAAGACATTTTCTAATAACAAGTGAAATGGGGGAATAGGGTGTTATTTGCACAGCTTAAAATCAAAGTACATACAAATAGTTGATGAATTTCAGCTTAAATGTTTTGTGAACTACACCTGCATATTGTCTCCTTGATATATTCTTAAAGCCTTAGGCACGTGGAGACGTTTTGTTACAACGTGATAATGGGAAAACTGAAATTTTGACATTTGTCATAGATCCAGTTCACTGTTCGTCATCTATGAATTTCATGAAAATAGATATCGCTAATTCCGATATCACTTTATGCTTATTTTGATTAAATTTCAAATGTTTCATTTTTGTTCAATACGATTCAGTACATGAAATATTTTCAATTCATATAGGGATAACATCACGAAAACCAAATTTTAAAAACATATATATATATTTTGTAACAGCGACCTGGACCTTTGGCCTATTGAATCCAAAAATCATCAATCATAACTAAAAGCATCAGCAAGAACATATTGCTGACTGATAACATTTTTTTAAATTAATTATATAGACCTTTAATATTAGGAATATAATATACATTATATCACTGCTTTCGGATACAAAATTTTTGTTTTATTCTTGCGTTTTCAAATTTGAATTACAATACATTTTCCCTTTGCCATAGCAATATATAATTGCAAACATGTCATCATACATAAAGACATTTTTTATGATAAGAAAAGTTACTTTATTTTGTATTCGTATTTTTTATCCATTTCCATGACTGTCTAGTATGAAGCCCAGTGCTTATTGAAATGACCTCTTAAGTTTCATGTGATTAATCTCCATTTATGAAGTAGTATGTGAGGGACTCCGCGCACAAGTGCCTTCATTTTCACTGACTAGGCTTCTATATTTTTATTCAAATTTATATACTTTTATCATTATAGGAACATAAAAGACGACACTTAATTTAGAATGCAAAGTTAATCTGTGCTCGCTACTTCAGAAAGCTAACAAAGATAGTCACAGTTGTTGGTAGAAAACTTCCGCTCAAATAAAGAAAATCAGAAACAACACTCCTTCCATGTTTCATGAGATTTGATTGAAATAGTTGATATTTATTTCCTGATGAAGGGGAGATAACACAACCCCAACTTTGATACTTCGTCCTTTACAATTTAAACATTATACATGAACGTCAGTTATAGATATATATGAACTGTGTCTAATACGTTATAGGTATTTCGTCTAATTAAACAAATGGCTTTTTTTCATTTTTTCTTCTTCGACCGGTAAAAATATGTTTATGTTGACAATGATTTGTTAATTGTCGAAACATGCTTAATTTTTAACATAGATCGTTGACACGGTTCCATAGAACATAAGGAGGGGTTACAGTAATATCTATAGACTAAACCAGCTCAATCAATGCAACAGCAAAAGCTAAATTCACTAGACTGTCCAATGAAAAACAGTATAGATTTTAAATAGCATCAGATATAGCATCTTACTTTAAACAATTGTACATTATATATAAAATTTTTGGCCGTCAACCTGCTTTACATTTTTTTCTTTAGTCACATGCAATTGCTAGTCCATATTTGAAAGAGTATTATTCATTTTACCTCCGTATATTTAACATCTGTTGTAGAAGCACTAAACAATTGCATATTTTTCAAATTTATATTTTGATCGGACAGTCATAGCCCTAAGGATATACATTATTATTATATTATATATGAAAACGCTAAATGGAGTAAACAATAATTAAGAATAAATTCTAAATATAATGAAGCTTATATTGTAATGAAAAAGTGGTGTTTTAAAACGATTCTGTCAGGCATTTGTCTCTGAAAAAAACCCTATATACGATATATTAAGGTTTATTATTATTTTTTTCTTTTTTTTTCTTCTTTTTTTTTGACTATGATAATTGATTTATTGGTCTAAAGCTTTTTTTTCTCTCAGACAAATGCCTGTGTATTCGAAACAAAACTAGTAGACAAGTTACCAATTTGATTGAAATACAGACCATTTGTATACGCTTCGGTTACAAGGATCTGACAACACTCTGTTCTTATTTCTCTTATAGATACCTAAAGGGATCCTCTGGTTTTGTAGTAACGATATCCGCCTTAAAAATCATTTGCTCATGTTATATTTACTAAAACAGAAATAAGAACGGAGTGTTGTCAGGTTCTTGTAAGCATACGTCAACAAGAATATATTTCATTCCAGGACGAAAAGAGGCGTGCTTCTGACACAAAAACTGCCCCAACAGGGTTATGAGGTAAAACTACGAAAATCGACACTTTAAAAGATTTACAGTCACAATCACGAATATTTTTTCCGATACGATGTGCATGTGTCTCATCTCATTAGTGATGTGTTTTCGCGGCCTTATATCTGTAGATACCAGAACTTAATTCCTATTGTGACAATTTTACTGAGTGTGGTATCATTAATGGCTTGTGATGCAAACACACCAAGATACGCCCTTTACCCTTTTGATGAACTCGATTTCGCATGGACCTGATTGGATTTCATGCGATTTCTCCAGTATTCGTTTTTAACTTTATTTCTCGACGGTAGTTTCTAAATTCACGATAGTTGAACAATTGTTAACGTCTATTGTCTCTAATTCAGAGCCTATCATATTGGAAGGGGGTTTACCTATACATGTTTATTTTAAGCATATTGTGTTTTTGGGTGCTTCGTATTCTTTATCTCATTTATTCATAATTTTCAAAATAAAACCAAAGTCTGATGATCTCCCATCCAAGATATTATTCACCTAATCAGGTGGCAGAGTTTGGGGCGACATAATATGTATGTATCATTTTCTAGGATCTCTGTTCTAATGAAAAATTGTCAGGCTGAAATGTAACTGCAAGCTCCAGTACAAGTATCATGTAATAACACTACAAAGTAAATGACACATTAATTAAAGAAAACGGTTGAAAAAAAAACGGACTTGCTACCGTGTTAACGAAAAAGATATTTGAATAAGCATATAATTCCTGGGCGATGTCTGAATTGTTTAAATAAAAGTCTCCGTGAAAATGACTGACTGTACATTAGACATCTGCCAATAGCTGAGGACTATCTGTTGATTTTAATATGTCTTTTGTTTATTTGTGGCGTTAGGTTGCTGGCCTATTGATGTATACCTAAGATTTATGTTTATTGGTATAACTGAAAGGCACTAAAATATCTGTATGTTACACAGAAGGGGGTGTAATATGATTGCTGTAAGGGCTCCTCTATTCAGATAAGAGGAGATAAATTCTCTTTTACGAATGAAAGTATCTGTATATATATATATATTTGATATAACAACAAAAATCTCAGATTTCTATTTTTAATTAATAACAATAAAAAAAGAAAATGCTATAGATAGACAAGTACATCGGGGTAAAAAAAAATCCAAAATTTCAAAATAACACGCTTATTATGCATACTTGGATACAATGTATGGATATTGTGTTGGGTGGTAAATATAGATTCAACCACTACTAGTATATCGAGTGTCATTCGATATTTCTCCATTCGAGACAGTTATATTTTCATAAAACGCAAGGATTGCCGACCTTTTTAAATATTTAATATTTAACTGTTGAGGGTGGATAACTATCGTATTGGACGAGTTTCAGTGGTGGAAACTGATTCTCTAATGATTTTATAGAAAAACAAAGGATATGGGGTATCCATCCATGACACAAAATCAGTACATGCACAGCCAAATAAAAACACACACACAAAAAAATAGACTACATGTAGACACACTCTATATTTCAATGATCTGCAAAAAGATGTGTTCCTTCTATGTGACGTCATCTGGCATGCTCCCCATTTTGTAATTTGACCGAGGAAGAACTGAGATCAAACGAACCACACGTTGATTACAAAAAAAAAATTTTAAAAATCAACCGGTCGGGAAAAGTATGAATCGGTTATGTATTAGAGAAGCAATAACAAAGACTCGACCAGCATCAAAATACGTGAAAATATCTCAAATATGTGAGCAAAAAGTTATAACAAATTTATTATAAGTATTATACAAATCCTGGATGTACTGATATCTTCATACAAATGTCATAAAACTTCATTAGGTGTTTAAGGGGGTACCAAACACTTTGACCAAAATAGATTTGGCTCGTTTAATTTTCATGAAAATTTGACAAAATATTTACTTTTACCTGTTGACAAAAATATAAAAATTTCAAGAAATTTGAACCACACAATTTACAGGAATAGGTTTCATTGGATACATAACAGTTTGACAAACACTAATTTTGATAATGGAGAAGCTTGATTTCTTTTTTCTAATAGTATGTAATTAAAACGTTCAGTTGATTTTAAAGAGTTAAGTCCCTTAGGTGTTCTGTACCCCATTAAGTTTATGTATTTTTGTCATATAGCTCTTCAACGGTTTCGGTACTTATACATCCTCGGATTTCAAATGTTTGGCTTTGAGCGTTCCTGATGAAGGTAAATCCAGAAAAGCGCTTCGGACGCATGAAATTATTAAACGTGTTGTTTTCAATTTTTTACAGCTAGTAATTAGGGATGATTTGAACTGATGATAGGTAAGACGTTTTTCCAAATTTTCCTAACAAGTGACACTTTAATTTTCACATCATGCCGCAGCATCTGTTAAAAAGTTTTTTTGTTGCATTACGAAATTCAATATCCATAAAGGCATAAATCAGCGGGTTTGAAATATTGTTTATGATAAATGTGCGATACAACCAAATCACTATAGTAACCTGTGATTTTGATAGTTTTTCCCAGAAGTCTGGATAAAATCCCTCCAAGGTTAAAATAGTTGAAACAGGAATGAAACATATTAAAAACACTGTTGTAACTGTCATAAACATGAACGAGAACTTGTTCATTAGACGTCTGCTCCGCTTCCGTTTCCGGTGTTTCTTCTTCGTCTGCTTTGATATGGTTTTTGTATCCGGTCTTGTAGTTGAAAGAGAGTCTAAAGATACGTCTGACATTGGGCATGTGATTTGAAGCGAGTCAATAGATTGATCGTCCGTAATAACTCCATTATCGACTGTTAGGAAGTCTACCTTCATAGATTTATTTCTAATCTTTTGAAATCTGACTAAGTCAACATCTGGAAACGCAATGTTCTGTAATCCTTTTGCCTTCAGATTTTTGTCGGATATCATTTCGTGTAACGATGATTTTCTGACATGGCTTTTGTTAGTATCTCCAAATGTTTGGAACGTAAGATTGTTACCAGTCTCACTGTTTACAGATTGTGTATGCTCCTCGTAGGATTCCTCACTTTTACTCGGTTTGGAATTTGTTGGAGTTGGATCTTTCGGATATTGTGCACGTGCATGCTTGAACTGATGGATTTTAAAGTGATGGTAAATTGCATATCCAATTTTCCCATATAGAAATATGAAGGATAAATACACAAGAAAAATAAATGAAGATACAACAATTCCGTAAAGGGCGCCAATTATTTTGTTACCGTATTTTAATTTACTACAGTGCGATGTTATCACTAGTCCATTTTTCTTGAAGTGTACAATTCCGTATGTTAAACAGAGCGGTATAGTTAAACATACTGCACACACTAAACATATAAAAATCATAATGCGCCTGCATCGTAAACTCAAAGTACGCTTCCGGCATATTTTCAAATATCTTTGAACTGCAATGCAGAGCAATAAGAAAATAGACATGTATGTTGTGTTTCCCATGAAATAGTACACTATTTTACATAGAGCTACATTTGTAAAGTTTGTTTGATGGTAGTTCCAGACTATTCCAAGTGAGGAGCTCACAACACACGCGATAAGATCTGCTAGTGCCAGCACTGGTATGAAATATCTCTCTTCTGATGCCTTGTTCATATGAAATTTGTAAACTAAAATGACTATAGTGTTTCCAACTAGACCTATTATAATGTACAGCGACAGTGTTACTAAATCTGGAACCGTATCTCTCTGCCAGTCGAAGATATCATAGAAAGGAATAGCTGTAGAATTATGTGTCATGTTAAGTCGGTATATATAATTATAATATTGAAAGAGAATTAACATTTCAATATATAAACAACACGTTTCCTCGACATAATGATATTAAAGGTGCCTATAGGATACTGTAAAAATAGTAAACCGATAACAGAAACATAAATGTAATTAAATTAAACAAGTGTTTAAAAAATAGAGTCAAAATCAAAGCTAGATATTTAAAGAGTCCCATTCCAGGTATATCTTTGTCTAATGCATTCTATGATAATATTTAGGATAATTATCCCTCTAAATGCCTCTGATTTCCTGAGACAATATGAGACATAGTGCATGCTTTGTTTATTTTTTTAATAATTTATTTACAAACAGGAAAGAATATACAACTGAAATAGGAAAAGTAAACGCCAGTACATATTGAAAGGTTTTCCGGTAGTCACTTTCAATTTTGTGTAAAATATACGAGATAATATAAACATTGAATAAACACTATGGAGCAGGACATGAATTACAAATATTAATGCCAATGAGCATGTTAAAGAGTACACGATGTTTGTCGTCCGTATCCTTCAGTGACATTTGGGGTGATGAACTACGTCTGTCCACTGCTCACCTGATTTCATTAAAATACTACTATAATTATAATCAAAATGTATCATGCTATTGTTAAATTCTTATATTATTTCAAGGTTTTGAAGAATAACATCATTGGTATACTTTGTTGCAGGTTTAAACTGAACATCGCAGTGTTTATATTTCCCTCGTATAGATCAATTCATTTACACAGGAATGTAAAACACCAGACCTAAACATATTGAGTCTACAAACAGGCATGTAAAACACCAGCCTAAACATATCGAGTCTACAAACAGGCATGTAAAACACCAGACTAAACATATCGAGTCTACAAACAGGCATGTAAAACACCAGACTAAACATATCAAGTCTACAAACTAACACATTATTCTATCGTTCAAACTATAAGTGCATATATGACAAATACAATCTCCATGAACTGATGAAGACAGTTTATCTGAAATTTATTTCAAATAAGCCGTCTTTATTTTCGCCAATATAAATCAAAAAACAAAACGATATATATATTAAATAAATAATTCGTCTCAAAAGCCCAATAATGTTGGATCTGCTAATTTTTTGTTCTTCCCTCAGCGGGATTCTAACCCTTGCTTCTGTGACACTGAAGACAGGGTACCGAGAGGGAACATTGCATATGTCTATTTATCGTATTTCTATAAAGTCGCAATGTTTCTTTTGACAGACATTGATAGTACATCTTTAGTTAGAGTAGTTGTGATCAACAATATCACCGGAACTCTAACACCAAGTGAAGCATGCGCACTAACCAGTTCACAGCCGGTGGGTACACAGGAATTATTGGTTCGTTCAGGTATGTTTAGCGCAAAAATTCAACTATGATTAAAGTCAACGCGATAGGATGGAAGAAACGGATTTAAAATATAACTTAAAAGGTCATATTTTTCTCAGGATTGTAAAACTCATTATATACAGCAAAACGTGGTAAACTGTAAAACGAAATTCAAATGACATTGCATCATTAAATCTGTTTCTTGAATACCAAAAGTAGCCACCAACTAAGAGTACTGAAAAGATGAAAACAACGCTTCATAAATTTAAAGCGTCTGAAGCGCTTTCTGAATTTACCTTCATCAAGAACGCTCAAAGCCGAATATTTGAAAGCCCAGGATTATAACAACCGAAACAGTTGAAGAGCTATATATATGACTTACAGAAACTGACAACTTGCCCATCCATTTTTTTGTTAGTTATTAGCTCGAGTTTGACACTAATTCCCTTTTATTTAATTTTAGATTCTGTCTCTCCGTCAGCTATAAGCTGTCCAACATCTATACAGTATTATTTAAGTGCTACTATTCAGTCCAGTGGATGTATTGAGAACTACATTGACGGTACTGCTAAAGTTACACAACATACATACACATATGCATCATGTGTCACATCAAAGTACACGTGTAAGTTATATAAGAGAGGGTGTTTTAAGTTTTAATTCTTCTTTCGATTTTATGCAATGTTTTATACATTAATAGTAAACGAGGCGTAGTTATCCTTTGTACATCATCTAGAGTATTAAGCAGTAATGGGTGCGTTGCGTAAACACGGCTTATTTCTGTTATCTTCATACAGATATTCATAATTCGTTTATAAATACACTATCTTATATTCGATTTGATAAGGGAAATGCCTAGTTTTGTGGTTTTTTAACGCGTGGTGGAAAGTCTTTTTTTATTTAAAATTTTTACATACCAGGCAATATATATACCTTATGTTCTTTTTGGAGATATAACTTGTCATGTATTTATACTTTTCGGGCTCTCAGATTTCGAATTTCACAATTTCTGATGAAATTGTAAAAAGGAAATCGTCGGAAACACCACATTTTAATAAAAAAATATTGAAAATAATAAAAAAATCAGTCATTTGTTACACAGCAACATCTAATTTCAATCAAACTACAGAACAGACATGCACAGGCCATCAACTAAACCTTTGTAAAAAAACTTGACAGAGAGAAAAGTTGAAAAGAACAATATAAACAAATGATCTACATTAATAAATATACCTATGCTTAAAACAATGATTTTTAATTTTTTTTTATAGCTGGTGGTATATTTGACTGTATGTATTCAGTCACAGACGAACCATATACTTATTTGACTGTTTTTAACAATGATACAACGGCTGATGAATCTTCAACATTTAGATATTTATGTTATGTAAGTATTATTAACCTATTATGGATAAAATGGGGCATGGCATTATATACTTCAAATGAAACAGCAACCTAACGACATAAATAATAAAGATACCTTGGGGTCAACATATGGTCTTCAGTCGTAAAAGACAAAGTGTTTATACAATATGTGAAGCGGATAGCCTAAATACCCTTGGTCTAGAAAAGTGGCGAATAAATCTCACAAATTGCATCAAAGATCTGTCTATATACTATTCCCTATAGGACAACTCACAAGATATAACAGAAGGCAACACAAATTATTAGTTCAGTTAGAATATGAGAAGAAAAGCGATAATCTATTTCAAACTTGCCATTTTCGATCTTCTGATTATGTTCGAAAATTCCCCAAAAGAAGTTTCATAAAATTTTCTTCCGAAGAACCACTTATTTACCACAGTTTCATTATAATACCAGATGGATAATAGGATATTTGCTTTTATATATTTAGTCTTGTCTAGAAATGACAAATTCAAATGAACCCGGAATGGATGTCCAGCAGGAAGCCTTTCAATCATATTCAGCGACTCATTTCACAAAAATTCTTACGAGTAAAAAAACTCGTAAGTCATGAACATTTCAGTATAACTTAGGATTAATTCTAGTCGAAAGATTTTTTGTGAAAAGAGCCCCAGGAAAAGATCATGTCAATGAATGTTATACGATTATAACCTGCTATGAACCATACCAACACATCATGATTTTCAACATGCAAGCAGACATCATAACATTTTTTAAGGATGACACCCGACTTGAAAACATAAGTCAGACTGCGGGTCAACCATTCTTTAAATTTACAAGAGGACAATAAAAATAATAAGTCGGAGAAAAAAAAAACAGACAACACCATGGCAAAGAAAACACCCAACAAAACACAAATGACGAGGAAGAAATCCCGATAATATGTTTAAAAAACAAACAATTTTTATCTTTTTCTAAGAAATAAGTGCATTCAAATTTAGAATATTTCATTATTAGGTAATTTGGAATTATGGTCATGTTGTATACTATACATATCATCCCCAAATCTGTCAACCTCTGCAGACACCGATATTGAAGGCAACTAATGGGGTGGCGGTTGTAGCTTCTAATAGTAAGTATAGAGTGTAAAACACAAATAAATAATGAACGAGAAGCGGTCTGTTGTGGCTCCCTCTAGCAACCAAGTAACAGAGACAACAGTATTAAGGGTATCTAAAGAGGAGGTGTCCGTTGTGGCTTCTTATAGTTGAAAATCAAATAATTTGCATGCCTTCCTATTGTAATGTTTAGCTGGTTACCTTCACAGACACGACGGTCAATGGGGTGATCATTGTAACTACATATTGTTAGTACATGTATTACTATCACTGTCACACAGACACGACGGTCAATGGGGTGGTCATTGTGACTACATATTGTTAGTACATGTATTACTATCACCGTCACACAGACACGACGGTCAATGGTGTGGTCATTGTGACTACATATTGTTAGTACATGCATAACTATCACCGTCACACAGACATGAGGGTCAATGGGGTGGTCATTGTGACTACATATTGTTAGTACATGTATTACTATCACCGTCACACAGACACAAAAAGACAGCGACCTTTTAACTAACTGCTACAGCTTCTAATAGTAACTATATGTACTGTCATACAATTTTGACTGCAACTGATTGGGTGATCGTTGTTGCTCTATAAAATTAGTACAAAAAAGATATTGAGAAATGGTATGATTGCCAATGAGCTCGAGACAACTATCAAGTAAGATGTAATATTATGTCACACAGACCCAAATGGAAAACGACCAATTGAATAGCTAAGGGTATTGTACTCACCTATAGGAATTATGTAGTCACATAAACAAAAATGTTCATATGGTGACCGTTGTTGTTGTTGCTCTATTCAGTAAGATTTAGATTCACAGAGAGAAACATAGATAGCGACCAAATGACTAGGTATTATACTGACCTATAGTAATTGTGTACTGTCACACTGACAACAATATGACAGAAACTGATAGGATGACCGTTGTTGCTCTATTTAGTATGATATTGATACCCTAGAGACGCAACTAATTAGCGACCAATTGAATTAGGTTCTGCAAAAAGCAAATAACCCAAGATGAAATGCAGGAATATTGGCCTGCATTAAATAACAGGGTAAGCCGGATAAAAACAAACTTTTCCTTGCAACAGGCGATCCACCTTACACAAAAAAACCACTGCTTCAATGGTTCATAGAGTATATAGAGTGTGAAACATCACGAGGCTTCTTATGAAATGTCCATATTCCAACAAAACGTGGCTGTGTATTTATACACTCCACACATCCGAACGTTAACCCCATAATATGGAGTATGATAGAAACCCTGTGACCATCATGATATGATACATCATCCAGTAAAACGCATTGTAAGATATTTGTAGTTATTAGGGCCCCGCCTGGTGGCGGGTCGCCCTATAGTGATCAGTCTGTCCGTCCGTCCGTCCGTAACAAATTGTGTCCGCTCTATATCTAGAGAACCGTTATGATTTCATACTTTATACTTGACATGTATATTAGCCAACACCAGAGGGTGTGTCATAATGTTTGTACAACTTCCTAGGTCAAAGTTCAAGGTCAAAAACTTTGGTTTCAGTTCGTCCGTCCGTCCGTCCGTAACAAATAGTGTCCGCTCTATATTTAGAGAACCGTTATGATTTCATACTTTATACTTGACATGTATATTAACCAACACCGGAGGGTGTGTCATAATGTTTGTACAACTTCCTAGGTCAAAGTCCAAGGTCAAAAACTTTGGTTTCAGTTGACAACCCCATGTCCTATGGTAAAGATCGTGTTCGCTGTATATCTTGAGAACCGTTATGATTTCAAAGTTTATACTTGACATGTATATTAACAAACACCAGAGGGTGTGTCATAATGTATGTACAACTTCCTAGGTCAAAGGTCTAGGTCAAAAACTTTGCTTTCAGTTGACAACACCATGTCCTATGGTACAGATCATGTCCGCTCTATATCTAGAGAACCGTTATGATTTCAAAGTTTATACTTGACATGTATATTAACCAACACTTGAGGGTGTGTCATAATGTATGTACAACTACCTAGGCCAACTATAACACTTTAACTAAAAAACATAGAATAAAATCACTCTCAGCACATAACGAGACTATGTAATAACTTAATAAAGTGCTTCATATCAGCTTATCCATACAAATTTTTTACCACACGTTATTTACAGCGGGGCCCACAGAGATGGCTCCCATCTCAATGATGTCTAGTTTCTTTTAAAAACGGATTTCAACGTTTAATAGACAGGGCAAATGTATTAAAGTATAAATGAAAAATTCTTTCCTCCTTGTTAATCGGTTTTATTATGTTTATCATTTCACTTTATATTTTTGTTTGCATTGTTTATTTTGCACACATTTTCCCCATGTAAGTATAACCTTTATGCATTGCATGTTAAATGTATTCTGTTTCCTTCTCTGTATCGTGGTCAATTTGTTTTGGAGAATAAAAGTAAAACTAAACATAATACTAATTGATTGGTTATTGTTTGATTTACGTCCAGTTGCAAATATTGCAAGCACTTTCAGGACGAAAACAATTAAACAAGTAAAACAATAAGTTCGTTCTGCAAGGTATGTACCGACAAGAATGAAGGACGGACATTTGGACTGCCACTGGTAAATGAGTATATCGGGACAGAAGAAATTTGGCCTTACAACAGGCCGTCTGCGGACCACTTTAAGAGATGTCACAAAGATTCTTTTACGAACAAAGGGTGTGGCCCTCTCTCTTGAATTAAAAAAATGATACACATTTCTGCTTGCTATCATTTAAGCTAAGATTTATATTTCTACATTTCGTATCAGAGATTAAAATGTTGACACCGGGATCAGTTTGATATGCTTTGCATTCCTTGAACAATCAAAATGAATTCGTTGATCGGCTTGGCTAATACATCTATGCATACGACTGACAAACTACTCCCTCCAACACACACGCAATAACAAAAAAAGATATGAAAAAGAATGTAACCCACATGTAAAATGGGTATAAATAACAGACACACACATATTTTTCCAGATATGTCAAATAATGTTGGTAGCCAAATAGCTGTTGGTGTAATACTGAGTTTACTGCTGCTTGCCTTGATTGTGTTGACAATTGTTTTGTTGGTCCTTTTTCTGAGAGGACAAAGGCGAAATAAAGCAGTCAGAATTGTTGAAGAGAAACAAATTAAAAAAAGCAAATCAGAATCTAAATCAAAGTCTTCAGATACAAAAGCAAAACATGACGAAAAGAAGAAACACAAGAAACCGAAAAAGAAGAGGATAGCCAATGAGCAAAAAACAGATCAAAACCAAAACCTGAATGCGTCTTTAAGACGAACAGAATCAATGAAAGAACAAGTAAGTAATATGTTGTAGTGTGCACGACACCACATACGATTTACACTTTTCTGTTTTCAGTGATCCCCATTTTAATTTACAAGTACAGCTCTACCATATTTTTAACATTTTGACATGACTTTAAACGTTTATGTGTCTGTATACATGTATAGAGCAGTCAGTGTTTTCTTTTGTATTTTTCCAAATTTTTCATGTCATGTATAGCTTTCTACAAAATGTATACGGTATGTGTTTTGCTCATTGATAAAGGCCGTACAGTCCTCTATTATAAGTTATAAGTTCTTTTGACCCCTACGGATCCATAGAGGGTTAGTAAAATCTATAAGAGATGAAGCCTTATCCCCTACGCATTTTACTAACCCTCTATGGATCCATAAGGAGTCAGTAGCGAACCTTATAACGAATTTATCGCGCACGGGACTTTTGTATAGAAATAAACAATGAAATACAATAACAGTAATAGTAGACGTGACGTCATGATACCATATGGAATCTAAAGGCACATACAGAATATGTCGGGGTTAAATATGTTTTTGAGCGCTCAACTCTTCCCTTCACCTTGGACAGTGATGTAACAGCATAACATAAGAACAAACTAGAAATCAGCTGAAAGGCTGGACACATCAGCTCAACACAAAGCACAAAAATAACTAATAAAAAGAATAAAGGTACAAAGTATCAATCTAGGAGTACTCGCAGTTACAGAAAGCTAGTTCAATCATTGCTAATAAACAAACCATATTTTCCAGACTAAAAAAATATTCAGTACACATCGAAGGAATTTAGTGTAAAGACGTCATAAACAGTCTGAGAAAAAAAAATGCAATTCCAAATGTCTGTGCGTGGACGTAAGTGTTCAAACCTTCATACAACATTTGAATATACTTAAAAATTAATCAACACATCAAATGAACAGAGCATTTATTAAATGTCTTCATTGATAATTGAAAAAATCCAAGAAGGTTAGGATCTAAAAGATTTAACCTTAAAGTCAGACCAAAGAGCGCATTACGTCAACTTATCTATAGGTATTCCTTTTTCCAATTACAATACTCCGTTGTGAGAATCAATTATGTATATTATATAGAATAATTTCATTATTTGACAGGCTAAAGAAACAAAACTAAAATGGACAGATTTTGTTGGTATCAGTGGAAATGTAAATGGTTTTGATAAGCCTGTGAGTAATGCATGTAATGATATACCTTTCAATGCGGTAAATCTAAAATCATTTCTGAAATTTGGATATTAATGATGGATTTACATAATAACATTAACTGTACCAATTATACTGTATATGTTTAAAAGCTTTAGCATAAATGACCAGAAGATGATATCTTCATGATTCAAAGTAACGAATAAATTAGAACGATTCAAATTTAGAAAACAATTTTCACACATGGGAAAAAAGCTTAAGAAAACAAACGTGAAAGGAAAAGCATAATTCACAGAATAAAAAACATCACAACTCTATGTCTAAATAAGTCTACAAAAAAGCCTCATTGAAATATTTTCACCATAAAACATAAAGCTAGAATATTAAACAAAAATTACATACAACGAGGATTCAGTATATAAAAAGCATGACATTGTCAATATTTCGTACAAAGTGCACCATACAGTCAAATAAATTGCTTTACAAGAAGATTTATATGTATATGTATTCAGTCCGTACGAAGCGCTTTTCTAAATTTACTTTGATCAGGATTGCTCCAACCCCCCCCCCCCCCCCCCCCCCCCCCCCCCCCCCCCCAAAAAAATATGGAAAAACGAGGATGCAAAAATTTACCTAACTGCATGTGGCTTTTCAAATTACAAAAAATGGTAGGGAAGGATATTAATTAGCAAAGATCATAAATAATTATCATAAACAATGGCTCACTAGTATAGATCAGTGTACATTACGTAAACAAGGGCTGACTAGTATAGATCTGTATACATTACATAAACAATGGCTCACTAGTATAGATCAGTGTAAATTAACATAAACAATTACTCACTAGTATAGATCAGTGTACATTAACATAAACAATGGCTCACTAGTATAGATCTGTATACATTACATAAACAATTGCTCACTAGTATAGATCAGTGTACATTACATAAACAATGACTCAATAGTATAGATCAGTGTACATTACATAAACAATGGCTCACTAGTATAGATCAGTGTACATTACATAAACAATGGCTCACTAGCACAATGTATAGATCAGTGTATATTACATAAACAATTGCTCACTAGTATAGATCAGTGTACATTACATAAACAATGGCTCACTGGTATAGATCAGTGTACATTACATAAACAATGGCTCACTAGTATAGATCAGTGTACATTACATAAACAATTATGGCTCACTAGTATTGATCAGTGTAATGTATAGATCTGTATACATTACATAAACAATGGCTCACTAGTATAGATAAGTGTAAATTAACATAAACAATTACTCACTAGTATAGATCAGTGTACATTAACATAAACAATGACTCACTAGTATAGATCAGTGTACATTACATAAACAATGGCTCACTAGTATAGATCAGTGTACATTACATAAACAATGGCTCACTAGTACAATGTATAGATCAGTGTACATTACATAAACAACGACTCACTAGTATAGATCTGTATACACTACATAAACAATTGCTCACTAGTATAGATCAGAGTACATTACATAAACAATGACTCACTAGTATAGATCAGTGTACATTACATAAACAATGGCTCACTAGTATAGATCAGTGTACATTACATAAACAATGGCTCACTAGTACAATGTATAGATCAGTGTACATTACATAAACAATGGCTCACTAGTATAGATCAGTGTACATTACATAAACAATGGCTCACGGTATAGATCAGTGAACATTACATAAACAATGGCTCACTAGTATAGATCAGTGTACATTACATAAACAATGGCTCACTAGTATAGATCAGTGTACATTACATAAACAATGGCTCACGGTATAGATCAGTGTACATTACATAAACAATGGCTCACAAGTATAGATCAGTGTACATTACATAAACAATGGCTCACTAGTATAGATCAGTGTAATGTATAGATCTGTGTACATTAACATAAACAATGGCTCACTAGTATAGATCAGTGTACATTACATAAACAATGGCTCATCAGTATAGATCAGTGTACATTAACATAAAAAATGGCTGACTAGTCTAGATCAGTGTACATTACATAAACAATGGCTCACTAGTATAGACCAGTGTACATTAACATAAACAATGGCTCACTAGTATAGATTTGTGTACATTTTAAGGAATGGCAAGTAAGATGGGAACAACACAAGGATCCTGACTGGAATAAATCTATAAGTTATGAAGATTCAGAGACGGCGAGGAGTAGTGATTCTATTACTAGTACAAGTAAAATTATATGGGTGACACCAGATAAAGAAGAACAGGAAACAACTAGAGCATTATGGGAAAAGGTATACCGATTGTGGTATGAACCTAGGAAAACTATTCCTGATAATAAATTTCAAGAAATGCAGAAATTGACGAAACTTTCGATGCCTAAACATGTCAGATTCAAAGGAAATGATAAATGAATTTATTTTTTTTTTATTTCGACCAATATTCCCGAAACTATATTGATTCTGATCTTGCCAGTGCAACAACAACTTTGTTTGTACAGTTGTCTTATTGTTACGGTGTATGTTTGTTTTTTAATTTATTTTTCAGTTTTCTTTTACTATTTATATGAGAGATTTGTGCATACCATTAATTATGATTTTGTTATTCGTACTCTTTGTCTTGTGTTTTTGAAAAGGAAAATCTGTTGATTATTATTTCTTCTTTTTTTGAAATAAAAAAAGGTTGCAATTTATTCTTTTATTTAAAAATAAAATTCTTTTCAATTTTAAAATCACATTTCCTTCTAATTATCATAAACATCATTGAACAGATTCAATATCTTGCGTTTTTGTTGCAACGTCATCAAATCTATAATCCTCATTGGATTTACGTCTTGTACAATGAAGACATAGTCTTTTACGCTGCCAGTGTATGACGAAAATAATGGCACAGGTAACACTAATAAAAACAACCAATGAAATCACTACAATCACACCTGGGCTTATGGGACTTTTTAACTTCTTATCTTTTGTGACAGTACTGACATCTTTAGTAGCTAAAAAAGAAAATTCGAGAAAAAATGTCATAAAAACCCTAAGACAGAAAAGCAATACAAAATGTAGGCATATTTAAAAAAAAGAGAAATGAATGGCGATAAAATTTATGAAATTTATCACAAAACTGAATGTAGTTTTCTAAAAGAAAAAAATGAATATTTTGAAGTACAAAAAAAACAAAACAAAACAACAACTCATGAAACTGAGATGTAGATAAAAAGAAAATAAGTCAACAACATTATCACAAAACATATAAAAAAGAAAATACATGCATGCAAGCATTAACGTTTCATCAATGAAATGAAAATCATACATTTTAAAGAAAAAGTAACAGAACACGTAATATACAAGGCAATTGACAGGTGTTAGTAAATGAATGCAGAATATGATTGTACTAAAAGCATAACATAAAATATATTCACATAGACGTGTTAGTATTTTACAAAAACGTTGAAGAATTTGTCATTTCGACAATGCAAGGGACATAAATTAAGGAAGGACAATTCTTCAAAACAGTCAACAATAATATGGTGACGTAAACTCATAAGTTGTGTGTTATTTTTGTGAACAAGTTTTTGTTTTTTTATTCGAACATATTGACGGATTTTAAAATTGTAAACACATCTAGTTGGTGTCTGTTTTAAGCATTCTATAACTAGATACTACGACGAAATTTTACTTCTATGTACATTGAAGCATTAGTACTTTCATATGTCCTCTGGCACTAACGTGACCTCGAATAGATGAAAGAACACATAAATTATATACAAAAGCAGAGTGGTGTTAAGGGTTAAGAAAGCACTATAAATATTAATTAATATATAGATACAAACAAAGGAAATTAATTTACAGTATTAAATACACTAAGCAGAGTGAGTAGGTTCATTGCAATAACTTTGAAATTGTTTATACTAATAAAAGGCAAAATCATTAATATAGTCAACTCTCTACTTCGTATTGTAAAAGTTCAAGAAAGTAAGAAGATACATTTCTGTTTGAAACAAATGTCTTCTTTAAAACGATGATAAACAGTTTAAAGAATGGTTATGCTTTGTCAGTTCTTACATACTTTCACAGTAAATGAAGCTTGTAATAGACGTATAAATAAATGGTATTGAATTTCACATTTACAATGAGTATACAGTTTTATAGGTATTTATATCTTTATCAACAAACAAATCTTTCTTTTATTGAAATCAAGTAGAAATTAAATTTTGTATAGTAATTTGAACATAAAGAAATTTATAAAATGTCGTAGAATATCCTTTTTCAATACACACATCTTCGTCCATAATGTAATACTTGTTCGGTTTTAAGACATTTGAACAAATAACTAATATATTAACTGGGTGTTAAACACAATTAAATATTAAAGTATAGTAACATAACACTGCGTGAATGTTCAGTTCGTATTTAATTTATACCCCTTTGAATTATGGATTGGTTGTTGATCTGTTACATTTATTACACCTACAATTCTATATATCTGTTTTAATTCGAGCGCCACTGACGAATTTTATTTAAAAGAAACGCGCGTCTGCCATACATAATTATAAGCCTGTGGTATCTTTGGTGAGATTTTACATATACATTTGTTAACACGTATATTTGTACTTACCGTCTTCAAAGCATTCATCTAACAAATATAAAAGGTCCATAAAACATAATGATATAATAAGTAAGAAGCGGAAAACTGTCTAGTTATCCGAACTTACCGAAAATGTGTTATGTTATTTCGTACTAAAGTTGACCGAGTTTGAATTTACATTGCAACTGATGAATAACATGTCGACGCATTTTAGTATTATTCATTTTAGAGTTCCTTTCTTAGGATTTCTGTGAATGATATATTTCAAACTAATGTACGAATTTCAGAAATATGTATACAGTGCTTCCTCCTATTTTTTATGGAAAGTTCTATTGCGTTACATTCGTAAAGCTTTGTTTTAGATAATCATAGCATGTCACATCCGTAGGTTACATGTGTATTGACTAGTTACATTTATATTAACTGATTGATATTTCCTTAACGTCCAAATAAATGTAAAAGGGATGTTCACTGGAAATAATTATATTCAAATATATAAATGTATCTTCTGACATCAGACTCGGACTTCTCTTGAACTGAATTTTAATGTGCGTATTGTTATGCGTTTACTTTTCTACATTGGCTAGAGGTATAGGGGGAGGGTTGAGATCTCATAAACATGTTTAACCCCGCCGCATTTTTGCGCCTGTCCCAAGTCAGGAGCCTCTAGCCTTTGTTAGTCTTGTATTATTTTTAATTTTAGTTTCTTGTGTACAATTTGGAGTTTAGTATGGCGTTCATTATCACTGAACTAGTATATATATTTGTTTAGGGGCCAGCTGAAGGACGCCTCCGGGTGCGGGAATTTCTCGCTGCATTGAAGACCTGTTGGTGACCTTCTGCTGTTGTCTGTTCTATGGTCGGGTTGTTGTCTCTTTGACACATTCCCCATTTCCATTCTCAATTTTATTTATTCTAAAAACATTGCTGATAAAATGGTTTACAGAAATAAAATGCTGTTTGCATCCTTTTCTTTCTGTGAGGATTGTTAGTTTTCCTGCCGAAGGTCGGTGGTTCTTTCTGGGCACTCCGGATTATCTCCAACAATAAAAATTAGTTTGACCGCCATGATATAGCCTATATAGTAATGAAAGTGGCGTTAAAAATCAATAATCAATCACTCAATATTTTTACCTTTTATGTCTGGCGAATTCGCAAGGACAAACTAGAAATAGTTAGAAGACAAAACAAAACTTACCAAATACATCTTGTAGTTGAAAACTGAGAATTGTATTATCACCTATACTACAAAGATCGGGATGTATGGAAATTCTAACGACACCGTCAACTTCTGACACATTCTATAATATATGTTTGATAACTACACATTTAACACTAAGATATCACATACAGTCATAGATATATGAAGATGTTGTATGAGTGCCAATGAGACAACTCTCCATCCAAGTCACAATTTATAAAAGTAAACCATTATAGGTCAAAGTACGGTCTTCAACACGGAGCCTTGGCTCACACCGAACAGCAAGCTAAAAGGGCCCCAAAAATTACTAGTGTAAAACCATTCAAACGGGAAAACCAACGGTCTAATCTATATAAAAAACGAGAAACGTATACATGTACAACTGAGAGTAGCATTAATGGCATGTAAAGCTTTTGATGTTTATTTGACTAAATGGTTACTTATATCGAAAGCAGAAGATTTGTTTTTTTCTGTTATTTGTTGTTATGTATGGTATTACAGAATATTCAAACGTGTTCTAATCATCATTGATGGGAGTGGGTTGAACTTTCTGTGTTGGCATCTAAGTCCTATACCCCAAAACCCCCCTTTTTACTTAAGAAATAGGCACTTTAATGTTTCATATCATGACGAATTTTAATACGGTATAAGTTATAACTGGTAATTATATAACAGTTAATAAATCAACCTGAACCAGAATTAACGCTTTGAGAAAATGTTTCAATTAAACGTCACTTAAAAACTTACCATACAGAAAAATCCAAAAGGTGAAAACTTGTAAAGCTCTGCATTGTTTGTCCATGCATATAAATGACTTCCACTATCTTCGATATAATGAACACAAGTAAAAGTTGTATTTCCTAAGAAACAATTATGTAACAGATATTGTAATTGAAAACATTAAACCTGTCAGACCTTTGACATATACAATTATTGGATTTATGAATAAAAGAAAGCGAATTGCGGCTTAATTTATCCACTAAACGGAATCTTTAAATATTACGCCGAGGCTTGCGTTATTTCATGACAAAACATAATTTCCGACTATCTCCAACTGTTGCTTAATTTAAAAAAAAAGAAAACAAATAAGAAAAAAACACGCAAAAAAACAAAAAAATTGACATGAATGCTCGATTAAATTTTACATTGCTTAAACTGTAATAAAATAATTAATAAAGTGATATAATTAGTGTGTCAAATTATGTTACAACTCTCAAGACAACATTTGATTTTAACGCCATTTTTAGGTTTAAATACAATACTAAAGTCTTCCAAAATGCTTTCTCACAGGCATACCTGATTAAACTTATTTTCGAGCCCCATTTTTTAAACAAAGAAACCAGTATCATATGTTTGTATACCAATCAACATACTAACAATTCGTAACCGTATTTAGATAGTAATTACCAAACATATTGGAACAGTTATTGTCAATATCCAACTTAAAACGAGTTGACTGTTCACAAGAATCAAAGTAACCATCACTGCACATTCCATTCTCTGTACTGACTTGCGTTATGTTGCCATAGTAACCTTGAATGATCTGAGGACACAATGACCCTAACGAATTTTGCATCAACGAAACTGAAAAAGAACCAAAAAAACCCCATTTGATTAGTTAACGATATACTTTATTCTAATAGTCGATTTTTACTTTTTATTTAAAGTTAAAAAAAGGAGAATCCAACTGATTAGAACCATTTCTAATAATTCATTTAAGCTTTGTCAGTACATGATATCGACGAAGTGTTACATGCTAAGTATATAATAGCTTGACTATGAAAAAACCAACCAGGCGCCGCAATAATCGGACTACATTCATATTCAACAATCTTCGATAACACGCGCATATATTTGATGAATTTTATGCAATATAAAATTATTAGTTTTTGATTATTAAATCAAGACGAATTGGATCATTTCAAATATATACAAATGCGTAATTGATTGATTTTTGCGTTCTAAACGTCAATTGTAAAAAAAGTTCATGCATTTTAACATTCAATACAAAAGATATGTTCTGAAAAGCAGGGCAACCGTGGTAAAGACGGGCAATTTGGACTGAAAATGGAAAAATTACAGGAAGACATTTTCCCTTGAAACAGGCCGCTTACTGAACCCATAGAGACTAGTTCAAATGATTATTGAACGAGCCAATTAAGAATGTGAGCATCTCTACACGACATAAAGACCTGGGTTGCTAAATAAAACAAAATAATTCAGCCAGTTTGTTGTTTGTTTTAGTCAAGCTACAGTGTATATTTGTCCTTAAAACATTTAAATTTGACTGCACTTTATTGTTTATTTACTGACTTTTATCTCTAAGAAATATTTCATTTTTCATACTAACCATTTCGCACAAGTAATATTTCATTTCCCAAACCAGGAACACAGACTTCATCTAAAGTATACGTATTGACCTTGACATGTCCATTCATGAATTCGTTCAAATAACTGTCATAATCTGTGAAAAGACATCGTTCAATTTAAGTTTTGTCCTGAAATGCAGCCATAGTATGTTTTAACTTTCAACAAAAACTAGATTTTAGTGGTGATAATTGGCCAAATACGTGTATATATCACAAAAAATTTACATTTTTGCATTTAAGTGACCAAACTATATCATCCTTTACTTTATCGATAACAATAAGAATAGAACGATTTTGCTTTTGAGTTATTTTTTGGGTCTAACAAGGTGCTTATCAAGCTTCTTATTTTTCTGTTCTTTATATTTCTTTCTTTTTTTCTTCTGTCTATTTATGTGAACTCACCTGTTCTTATGTAGTATTGAAAAACAAAACCTGACTGTTGTTCCATTTCCAAACACATGTACATATGTAACTCATGTCCAAATACTTTAAAAACGTGCGAAGACCTGCAAAATTGAGAAACATGCTTTTAATATTTTTTTATCGCCAAAAAAATGAAAACAACACGTTATGAATTTCATGCGTCCGAAGCGCTTTTCTGGATTTGCCTTCATCAGGAACGCTCAAAGCCGAATACTAGAAAGCCAAGGATGTATAAAAACCTAAATAGATGACGAATTATATAACCAAAAAGGACCAAAAATATAGCCAAATCCATCTAAGGTCAACATTGCCTGAGGAAGAAATTTATTAACGGACAATTTTAAGAAGGTTTGTTATAAATCATGTCGGTACCGAAGTACTGACTATTGAGCTGATGATACCCTCAGGGACTGGTAGTCCACCAGCAGAGGTATCGACCCAGTGCTGTTAAAAATGAGAACAAAAAGTTATAAATTTCATGCGTCCGAAGCGTATTTCTAGATTAACCTTCATCAGGAACGCTCAAAGCCGAATATTTGAAAGCCAAGTATGTTTTAGAACATAAACAGTTGAAGAGCTATATAAGCAAAAAGGACCTAAAAAAATAGCCAAATCCATCTAAGGTACCGGCGGATCAAAAATTGTAGCCTGTTATATAATCAATTATTTCTCGGTCTAACGTTAGCACGAACTTAGTTTTTATCACGACAAATGGAACAGATAACATATGTCCTCTAAATATTTTCTTTGTCTTCATGATTTTGTTTCTGTTATTCATTATGTCACTAAACAGCACATCGAATTGCAAATACTTTCATCAAATATTACAATTTACCAGCCCATGTCCCAAGATTCAAAACAATAAATACGTTCCGTTCAAATTATAACTGGTAAAATACTAATTTCACACGAAAAATAAATATAAAACAAGTTTCATAATTTTATTAAAAACGTTATGGACATTATTTTACACATGTATTAGAAAATTAACTTTTTTTTTATAAAGGATCATAGGTTTTCAAGTATTACGAGATAAACAAATTCATTACTTTTTAACGGGAAATTATTTTGTGCGTGTGTGTGTGTATGAATGTTAAGAAAACATTGGTAACTAGCTTTTATGTTATTGTATCTTCATAACTAATTTGTGAGACCTTAAAAATCTGATTCGGAAATAAGGTTGTTGCTTTCAATGAAGATAACATAGATATGCGGTTAAAGTGTATGAGTCAACAAACCTTCATGGTACCTACTGAATATATCAACCTCCGAAGTATTGAAGAAGCGGTGAATAACTCGAAGATCTGCAATCAACACCGAATTTCTAAAATGCCAATTAATTTATGTTGAAAAGGGAAACAATGTTTTCCATAGGATCGTCGAAGGCTTCCACGGTTTCCTTTAATTTAGTTCAAAATAAACCCTCTTCAGAAGATAACTAGAGGAATACAAACCATAAGTCTCAGAGAGACAGACATCGCCATCGCCAAATGATTAACAAGTAAAAACCTTCCATACATAATAGTTCTTTGAATATAATTGTCTTAAATTTAAGAGTAAAATTATTTGTCATATACACCAATCAAGAAAATAAGAGGTAACAGTCAATGCTAAACTTTAAAATAAGTTTGTAAAAAGCATATTTTATTGAAAGCATATTATGAATATACTCACTTTAATATATAGAATGTAGAATTTCTTTCAACACAATTCAGATGTAACGTCTGCATATTTGGTATAGATGTATTATATCCAGAGATAGAGGACGTCCCAAAAACCATTGGACCGTTATACAGACTAATCCAAACTCCTCGTAATTCATTGGGAAAGCTACAAACGGCATCTACAATAGAGAGTGTTGACACGCTTGATTCAAATCTATTCGCCAAAGTACTTGTTTGAGACGACAATATAGTATGCCATGTGTGCGTTTGGTGACCAAAAAATCTACGTCAGTACGTTAAACAAAGCGATGAATATCATAAGTATAAAAGCGTTAACCGGAATTCGCTTCGTATACACAAGAGAAAATGAATGGAAAAAAAAAACCAAATTCCCCCCTCCCCCCTCCCCCCAAAAAAGAGAGAAATATTATACATATAAGATTGGAAGTAAAAACGGCGTTGCAAAACAGTTATCGGTAAAATAGATGACATAAAATTATGTTCAATTGTAAACTTACCGCAGAATGGTATAAATGCCAAAATAAGATAGGTGCCACAAAAATCAAATAAAACCATGACACCTTTTACATGGAAAACACACAGAAAAGTTCAATAATGATTCTTTGATAATCGATTTTTATGAATGACCTCATCGCAGCAGTATAACAAAAGAATTTGAAAATTTCGTTAAACTTCATATATTAAATGAATCAAATCTAAATTTTCAACACATACCTAGTGATGCTCAATTGATTTCAAACAGCAGACAACTGTTTATTACCCACAGCGCCTATGAATATGTACTTTGTATTTTTTATACAGGGTATGAACACATGAAAATTTATTTGTAATGTATAAAAAGTCACAAAAGGTAATGAAGATGTTAATCAACTGTGATATATTTATTTGTAGATGAGATTGAAAAACAAAACGTTGATAATGATAACATAAGACCTGCATTTGATTTTCAACATCTTTTTAAACTATATAAATCCAGCATAACGAATTGAAGGGGTTCGAAGTCCTGTGGATTAATTTCAATTTTGTCAAGAACATTCAAAAGAGTTTCAATAATTATTTTTTTCAAATGCACAATTACGTAGAAATGGACTGTAGATGGTTTATTTTATCATTATATAATTATAGATTACCGTTGGTCATCTGAACGAGATGGTTTTCTCGCTTGAGCCGGTACGGCGAAAGTGAGAAAAGCAATCGAGTTGAGATGACCAATGATAATCTGTTTATCGCTATTTTACCTATGACGACGTTGTTAATTTCATTGACAACGGCACGTGCGCCCTTAGTTTCGAGCGATAATTTTTCATATCACTCTACTGTGCTGAGAAAGGAAATTATCAGTCAGTAAGATCAAAGGAAAATTTCGTAAAATAGCGATAATATAAATAAACTAATATTCATTGATGTGATTGTTCAAATATGTTAAGACATCTCTAAAGATTTATACAACGATAATGACAAGACCTATACACGTGAATATGTCTGGTTTATAAAGACAAATATTTCAGCACTTCGATCTTTTTCACTATGAAACAATTTTCGTTTTACATATTGCCACTACTCTCATTGAGAAACACGACAAATACTGACGAATGCATTTTGTTGTTCTGAAATATTTGTCTTTTTATACGATATAGTATCAACGCTTAGTATATATAGTATTGCCTTTTGGTAACGATCCACTAAGTTTTAGACCCGTATCATCGCCCGCTCCAATACCTATTACGTCTGTTTGTTAGTATAAAAGGTAAACGGTATGAACACCACAGCAAATATTTGTTGAAATCACCCAACTGTGTAATATAATAACTGATTACTTCCGTATATTATCTGATCGCTCAAATTTCCTTTTAGAGGATATTATATACAATGGGCATTTGTTATTCCTAATTTAGTGAATGATATCACACAATTAGTCTTTATATGGCAACATATGACAACTAAGTAACTTTAATAATAGAATGTGTTATGAATTTACCTATTTTATTATGTAGCAAGAAAACTAGTCCGGTGACCCCATTTTTTCTTTTTCTTATATGAAAGCATAATATTAGAGTTATCTTCTCATATTTTATCTTTTTATCACACAAAATTGGGTATTCCATGCATAATCTATACAGAATCTGACAATTTTGCACAACCTGTAGCGTGATAAAAAGCCCGGTGACCCATACTTTTTATCATATTTTTGAAAAAAGCATGACATAAACTATATTTTGACAAATTATTAAAAATTCTATGGATTTTAATTTAGACCCCCATCTACCTTAATCGTATTAAAACTAAAGCCTTAAATATTCTTTTTCTAGTGGTGACAGCATTAATCAAAACGGTTTTATACTTAAGCAACCGTTCATGATAAATTAAACAAATATATGTTAAGTTATCGAATGTTTATCATAAATATAATATAAAAACGTTAATAGCATTACAGATAATATTTTTTGGCATCTTGCAAAGTTCTTTAATTTCACTTTCAGGTATATTGCTGATGTCCTGTCAGTAACCAACATTTTAATGAATACTTTCTTCTCATATATCCAAATGAACTTGCTATTAAAGTTTTTACCAAAACTAGAAGGTCTGCGTTTTGTATTGTCCCGGATATTGACACGGATGGGCGACTTAAAACTGGAATATATGAACACGAGATGATGTCAATTTTTCAATTGTACACTTGCCATTTCTCAACAGAAACATACATTCTGCAGTATAGTGTTTGCATATCCCAATTAATTCGTTATACGTTTGCATGTTAACACTATACGAACATCTTTAACCAGAATGTGCTTTTAACACAATCACTGCTCCAACAAAGTTATGAGGAAGAACAAATAAAATCGACGGAACATTCGTTTTACGGTCCCCAATTCGAGTCGGTTGCCCATTTATGTCTCAATTCACAAAGGACATGTTTTTGAGTTAGAAGTTCTTTAATTACCAGAATAGTCGTATTAAATGTAAATTTACCGATTGTTTGCTCTTCTCGATTGTAACGTTTTGACTTAGCGTGATTTCGCATGCCGGTTGATGTACGAATAACAGGAATCGTTACACTGTCGACACTCCCGGTTTCGCTTCTTTTGGAGTTAATGCGATTTCTTCAGTTTTTTGTTGTTGTTTTGTTAACGTAGATTTGTATTTTCTAAATCGATTGATAAGATGGGAACATTGTAATGATTATGAATGTCTGAATATTAATATGAATTTATGATTTCCTTCAGCAGTTCTATACTGTATTTGATGCGACTGTCATACAAGTGAGAGGTTTAGCGCTATAAAACCAGGTTCAATCCACCATTTTCTACATAACAAAATGCCTGTACTAAGTCAGAAATATGACAGTTGTTGTCCATTCGTTTGTTGTGTTTGTGCTTTTAATTTTGCCGTTTGATTAGGGACTATCCGTTTTGAACTTTCCTCGGAGTACAGTATTTTTGTGATTTAACTTTTTACTGTATACAGTTTACATCAATATGTCTAGTTCAAATGATGAAGTGTTATTTTCATTCTATACCTTCATAATGACACACAAAAAGTTTTATGAGATAAACATATAATCTTATTCTCTTCAGTGCTAGATTGGCATTAACGGTCATAGACAAGAATTCGTTCGTAAACTTAAGTATGTTCTTCTTTGACCGGGCCCGATTAGGTGGTGGTACATCTTACAAAGTCTATCAAAATTTATTTTTGTAAAGAATTCCGCTCAAGGCGGTGCTAGGGGCTGTCTAAAACATGTAGTGGGATGATAGTTTTTTTTGCTCCGTGTTGAAGGCCTCACTGTAACTTTGAGATGAAGAATAGCAATAAAAGCGCTGTTCCTTTGCTTATTGTGTTTTTTTTTTGTTGTGCATGTACTGATTTTGTGTCATGGACAGATACCCCATAATCTTTTGTTTTTCTATTAATGTCAATTCCATCCAAGTAAATTACATCCAAATTCGAGAATGTTAATTTCGTTTCGTTCAGTTTTGATTTAACTGAAATTCTACATTTGAAAAAGTGGTAACTCACCATTATTTAGATATTATCATCTATACAAAATATAGGTAAAATAAATGCAATCGATATTTGTTGTAATAATTGAAAAAAATCACGGAAACAAAATAAATCTCTATCAACTTTCTTTGATTTGAATCAAGGTTGTAAAATGTACCTATCAGTAAGTTGTGTTTGTTCCGATGAATCTGATTGGACAAATTAATAGATATTTACGGTTACACAGATTTAGTGGGTAGGTGTGAATTTTTGATAAAAAAATAAAGTATACATGCACTTATGTCTTATGAAGCAAGAATCTTGCAATCTGATTGGTCAATTACCCGGATGTAAATAACAACCCACCCTAGTTAACCCGGGGATAAAAGTTTGGCAACATTTCCTGTAAAAGAAATGCATACAACCTTTGGTTGCACCTCAGGATGTATGAGTGTTTAACACCGGTGTAAAATTCTGTACACCCCTGATGACACCAAGATTACTGATATCATAAATCCCGGTTAATGCATTTTGGTATGAAAAAAATACTATATAAATTTCGTGCGTCCGAAGCGCATTTATGAATTTACTTTCATCAGGAACGCTCTATCCTAAACATTTGAAAGCCAGGGATGCGTAGAGACGCTGCAATTTTATGAGCTTGATGATAAAAAAAGATTCTCTTTTAGAGTCAATAATAAATTAAAGATAGTTACAACATTTAATCGTAGATTGTCTTCAAAATGTCTTAAATACATTTACGACCGAAAGCATAATTCAGATCAACTTCCTGCGTCCATCTATAATGATCGATCATACAGCAGTTTTCTTAACTTTAATGGTCCATTTCCAAATGATTTTTACAGTTTGTTTTTATGTTGAACTGTTACACCACTGTTCTTTGATAGTGGTGGCATAGTGCTAACAGACACGTTTAACCCAGCCACATTCTGTATGTGCCTGTCCCAATCCAGGAACCTGTATTTCAATGGTTGTCGTTGGTAGCTGTCTATCATATTTGTTTTTCCTCTTCATCTTATTCATATGTCGCAGGAGCAATTCTGCTTGGATTCGGCGATGCGGACCACACCTTATACTAAGTCAAGTCAAAATTAAGTTGAAAATGTTAAATAATAGTAGCTTCATGATTTTCAACTTTATTTTAGCATCAATGACCTACAAATAATTGTTCTTAAATATGAGAGACTTACAATATAATTTAAAACACAGATTATCAAGCTTTTTATTACCCCCTTCATATTTGTAATGAGTCGAATAAAACTGGATACAGCCGAAATTTCAAATTATATTTGTTGCAAGAAAAGGCCTTCACAGTGTTTCACAAAACAATACATTCTACAAAATATACTTTATTTCTAAGTAATTTGAATACAAAATTTTCCAAGGGCAATGACTCAAGGTACAATAAAATATTATATAGTATACTGTTTAGATGTCATAAAAGAAATTTTTACGAAACTCCAGTTTTGAACTAGCCCATAATGAAAACTGTATAAACTAACACCAGGCGCCATTCGAGGTAGTCTCCCCTTCAACATATAATCTAACGAATCGTTGAACGATGGCTCAACTTTCACAATCATTTGCTAATATGAAGAATATGACATTTGGATCAATGATATTTTATTATAACAGTTTATCCAGTCACTTTGCTACTTGATGGTAGGTTCTATTTTTTGTTGATGAAACTTAAGTTTC